CCAGTCCCTTCCCCAATATCAGAACCGTAAACCACAACCACGTGTTTGATATTTGGTGCGTGGGGAGGGGGTTCATATTGGGGGACGGCCTAGGCTCTTCTGTAGAATCCCTCGTGTTCAAGGGATAAGGGTTTTTGAGGAGTTCTTCGTAAGGCGTCTGTCGCTTAAACCCTAAGCCCCTAAAACCTTTAAACCCTAGACTCCAAACCCTTAAACCCTAACCCCTAAAACCTAGACCTTTAAACTTCAAACCCGTAAACCCTAAACCTTTAAATTTCAAACCCTAGACCCTAATCCCTTCAAACCTTAAACCCTAAACCCTGAATCTACCCCAGGCTTGCAAGGCCTTGTAGGCTTTACTGTTATTGCCAGGGAGGTAAGCCCTAAAAGCGACGTCCTAAACTCCAAACCCCAAATCCGGAGCCCTAAACCCTAAACCCCTACACTCTGAATAGCAAATCCTGAGCCACGAGCTCGAAATCATAAACCCTGGACGGCAAATCCCAAGCCCAAATCCTAGACCCTGAAATCCGACACCCTAAACCCCAAATACTAAACCCCTTAACCCCCCATTCCCAAGCTTAAATCTTACACCCTAAACCCTAAACCCTAGAGAGGCACTGCCTCGCTCTGGTCTACGGAAGGGCTGCAAGTGTCTGCAGGCCGTAACTGCATGCTCTGCTTACCTTCAGTTAGCTAGGAATGAGGGTTTAGGGTTTAAGGTTTAGGGTTTAGGGTTTAAGGTTTAGGGTTTAAGGTTTAGGGCTTGGGGTTTAGGGTTTAGGGGTTTAAGGTTTGGGGTTTAGGGACCTTTGGTTAGCTAGGAATGAAGGCATGGATCCTCATAGCAGTCCCTATATGACCCATGTGAGTAGTTTCCATTTCCTTCATTCCCCGCTAACTATAGGTAAGTCTGCTGCGAATGTTCGCTACAGGGTTTAGGGTTTGGAGTTTAAGGGTTTAGGGATGTAGGGTGTAGGTGTAGGAACTAGGGGTTTAAGTTTAGGGTGAGAAGAATGGAGACTTTCAACGCGACGGCCCTTAGCAGAGCAAGCGTTTGTAGTTTTCGTTTTACATTGAGAGGTATTGAGCATACACAGGTCACAAACCCCACCCCCCTAAAACCAGATATTCCCTTAATATGTATTGATATTCTATTGGTTATTTACTGGGGGTGGGGGGGGGGGGAGTTCATTATTGCCACGAATTGCTTCCAGCTTTGGTTGAAGTCTGCTAGGGTTCCTGGAAGGACAGTAGAAATTGTGGTTATGGCTGCCTCTACTGCGTAGATAAGCCCAGAGGTCTAAACCCTAAACCTTAAACCTGAAAGGAGAGGTCCTCCCTACCTCAAGGCATCCTTTTGTGGAGTGTGCCATGGCTAGGGAGTGCACCGAATTTTTATCAGAACTCCCTTCACCTTTAGGGTTTAGGGTCTAGGGTTTAGGGTCTAGGGTCTAGGGTTTAGGGCTTAGGGTTTAGGGTTTAGGGCTTAGGGTTTAGGATTTGGGGTTTAGGGTTACCTTTGGTAGCTAGGAATGAAGGAATGGATCCTCACAGTGGTCCCTAACCCATTAAAGTAGTTTCCATTTTCTTCTCCATTCCTTCATTCCCAGCTAACCCAAGGTGAGTGATGTGATCCTTGCTTGCCGCAGGACTACCACCTCTCACCGGACTGCGGCCAGAAGCCACCTGGACGGCGTGAAAGGAGCTGGCAAGTGTAGACAGTCTGGAGTTTCTGTTAAGGAACTTAGCTCAAGTTACAATATTGGGGAGACCCAATTATTTGCTAGATATACCCATTCCGGTAGCTTAATTCAGGTTCCTTGACAGCAGCCCAGCAGTGTGCGGTGGCTACATAACATCAGCAGAGAGGCAGTCCTGAGCATAGTCAATGAAGCGAGTAAAAGTGATTATGATGCTTTATGTGGACCCTCCACCCTGTAGTAGTGGTATAATAATAAAGAGGACCCTATAGTTACCAATATACCGTTATAAAAGTCACTTTTACCTTACAGGGTGGGGGGTCACCCTCAGTTATAGTGGGACATCATACCTCGCAAGTCGGCCTTCAGGCCCTAGGCCTTCACAAAGAAACAAAGGGAGAGAGCGAGAGAGAGGTCCTCGCTCAGACCTTGCACAGCCTATAGAAGAAGACGAGAAGAGAGAGAGACCTACTGGTGCTTCAGAGGGAGTGGGGGAGTGAATATATATGTACCATCATGAGGGTATATATGGGGCGTATATAGGGATTGTTCTTGGGATGCACTCCCCTACTCCCCCGTAAGCACCAGGAAGGGGAACACAATGCTCGTGATGGTGGTATTGATGCTGCTACTACTGCTACTGCTCATCCTCCGGCTACTAGACGACGATGACGAGGACGACGACGGGCGACGACGACCATTACGAAGCTGATTACGACGATTACGACAACGACTACAGCTACTACTACTACTGCTACTACTACTACTACTACTTCTACTTCTACTATTACTACCACCACCACCACCACCACCACCACCACCACGACCACCACCACCACCACCAGATCAATGTCTACCTTGACCTCTGCTTCTACTATTTCGGGCCTGGCGGCAAGTGCTGGCCTGGCCACTGCCCCACTGCCCACCGAGCCGAAAGCCAGCCCACCCCAGCCCTGCTGTTGCTCTGACCGGGAGGGGTTTAGGGCTTAGGGTTTATCAAAGAAAGATGTTCTTGCTACCTGGCATGGGTTCTTGGTTTGGAAGGTTTTGTTCTCTCTAGCTTAACCGAATTGACCCAAAATGGGATGGCGATGCTACTGTACGGGGCGAGCGCGCGCACATTGGACGCGAGCATCGTCTGCACCATAGGGACCTCGTTTTGGCTTTAGTGAGACCAGCAGGGTTCAAAAACACAAGAAAAATCATCACAAACGGCTTTGAAAGTGGTTCTGTGCGCATGCTGCCCATGTATTTCTGGCAAGCAACATTTTAGCATACTTGACAGGCTAAAGTGGTGCAAAAGAGCAGAAACTATTGAAATATCCCGAAAAAACATGCAAAACACGTAGTTTACGGACGCAAAACCTCTCGCACTCTTGCCATGCAGTGCAGGTGCTGTCAATGCTGGTATTCAGCTCCTGAAACATTGCCCACAGCATTCGATTTCCTTCTTGACACCACTTTCAACACCCCTTCGAAACCCTAATTAGGTGGTCTCAAAAAGAAAGAATCGAAGGCCCGATAATTGCGCTGATGATGCTGGCCAAAAAATGCCTTGAACCTTCCTTCGTGTGGCGGGAAGCCGCAAAAACGCGTCCAAAGATCACCTTGAACATTGACCCCCAAAAAAAAACACGGATCCAGGGCGTCCAGGGGAGGGGAGGGTCGGCGGCAGGGGCATCAACTCGTTTAAGCACGGCTTTGCTAGGCGCGCATCCGCACTGGACCACGACGGCCAGGCCGGACTCCTTCAACTACCACCGCCGCCACCCCCACCACCTCCACCGCTGCCACAGCCACCATGACTCATCATTCCCCCGGTATGTTATATAATGTCAACCACACAATAGTATATGCAATACGGGTTCCCCAGAGTTGCAGACTTTGAAATCTGCTCCCCAGAGCACGGTTGAACTGGCCGAGAAGAAAGTTAATCAGACTTCGGACTTCTGAATCCTAGCAGGACTCTCAAGGATTAGGGTTTAGGGTTTAGGGTAGGGATCTCCTTCAATTTTCTTGACTTGTTTTGACAAAGGAGTGGCGCAAGTTGGGGTCCTACGATCAATTTCCCCCCAACATAAACTGCTGGTTGGCGCATGTACTTAAGTCATATTTGGGGCCACTGCTACTATTACTCCTACCCCTACTGCTGCACCCCTTTCCTCTGATACTGTGCTTATTGGTACAGTGCCAGCAACCGGCTAGCATCGCCACCAGTACTTTAAGTTGTTGATAGAACATGAAGGATCACAACTGTCTTCCCACCACGGCACAAGCCCGAGACCCCAATCCCGAACTCTTCCTGGACACCAATATTCTACTATTATTCTCGGAGACGTCCTGTAAAAGAATTGTGGTTCACAAACCCCAAAACGAAAAGACAGGCGTGAGCCAGACACATCCTCACCTTGACGCACCCATCCCTAAAGGACCAAGTACCTAATAATCATATACTCACCCAAAGCCTATACTATAAGTGCTATTACCCAACACCCATAGGTACTTAATTATTGGGTACTTGGACCCTCTGGGCATTCTGAATGAGCCTAGGTCCAGCTTACGGAAGTTCACCCCCAGCGACCCAGAGGCGGCGAGCTCAAGGGTATGAGGAAAGCTCATCCAGAAATCTATGTCACTATAGTCCCCCTTAAGTAGATAGAATACGGTGTATATGGGGATCTTATTACAAAATACCCAGAGCCGTATTCTATCTACTCAAGGGGGACTATACCTAGATGTTTCCGTTATTTTTTTATATTCAAAACTGCTGTGTAATATCCCCCAATGTTGCACATCCTGTTTTAAATAGTTGGTCCCCATCAAATAGATTATAGTGACCTTACACCAGATGGTGGCGGTCGTAGAACATGGTCCCACGTTGGGTTTTTTTCAGGCTTGACAATTCTGTTATCGCTCAACCGGTAAAGTTGTATGCTCGTAGTTGTGTGTTATAGTGGTCCTGAAGGTGCTGGTCACCTTAATCACGCTGTAGAGAAGCGGAAATTACATTGCTTGCGCTATCAAGAACAGTAACCATGAGACTTGCTATTGCGGATTTGACCACGGTGGGACAAAGCGTAGATGAGAGTGCTGGTGAGCCCTCAGCCCTCAACAGGGGTAGGTTTGAAGAACGCCTGTCTTTTTCCTTCTTACACCTGATATCTATACAATCTGCAAAAAGCCATACAGAAACCCATGAACCCTAAACCCCAAACCTGGGCCCCAAACTACGGTTTCTTCACCTTTTTGCAGTGCCAGGTTCAGAAGGGCAAGTGCCGATGCCTCTCTGACTTTGACATGATGAGGACAGCTGCCACAGTCCTGAATCAAATTAAGTTACAATAATGGGTGTATAACTATATATAGTAAATAATGGGGCTTTGTCATTATAGTAACTTAAAATATGTTCCTTAACAGCAACCCAGCAGTCCTGAATCAATCGGGAATGCAGCTCTTGTTACATGTTGGCTCCCCCATGACTCCACAGCGTCACGTGGACCTCTATTTAATGGCAAGAAGTAAGCGCAGCGTAGCTTCAGGGATACGGATGGAAAAGAACGAGAGACCGTAAACCTCATCCTAGACCGCAAACCAAAACCTCTATTGCTATATACTATCCCTACACTATCGAACCCCGCAGCCTAAACCGCAACATCATAGCAGCCATTCTTCACATGATCAGCTGACCTGTCGCCACCTTTTGCACAGCATGCATGAATTGGAGTGAGCTTTTGCTAGGTTGGCAACAACCTGACTTACAACCCGGGCTTTCAGTAAGGGTTATGTCGCAGAGATTATCTCTTGCAGGGAAACAGATTGGTCTTCCTGGTGGTTGATGAAGGAATGGAAAGGGAAATGGACACTACGACAGGGTCTAGGGCTTGGTGATGCATCCGAGCTACTGTAAGGTCATTTGCAGCAGTAAGCAGTTCAATGAATGCTAAGGTCCTAAACCCTAAACCCACAAAAGATTGTGAGCGCAATGAGTGGCTGCGCAATGTGGTTGCATCGATAAACCGATGCACCGGCTCATTTGTTGTTGTTTGCCCTTTGGTGTTGTTGCTATTGTTGCTGTTGTGGTTGTGAATGTGTTCGTGGTTGCCGTTGTGGTTGTTGTTGGCGCTGCTGCT